TGTTGGGTAAATTCTCTTTACAAACCAAATGTCTTATAACAATAAAATTTTTAAAATAAAAATAATAATAAATATTTTTTTAAAAGATAGCATGTTTAATTTAACTCATAAAGTGAAGACCCAGGTACAGTGGTGGAAGAAAAAAGAATGGGTTCTGGAATCTGTCTTTCAGCATCTGTGGAAATGAGTGTACTGTTCTTTTTCTCATGTTTAGGATAAATGTTGTAAATGGAGTTACTAATATTAAACCATTCTTGCATTCCTGGAAGAAGGCTACATGTAGACATGATGTATATCATTTTGTAGTTTGCTGTTGGATTTCATATTTAATATTATTTTAGCATTTCATATCAGTGTTCATTAAAGAGATGTGTGATTTTTGCATATGTATGTGCAGTTTTCTAGGTATTGATATCTAGATTGATATTAAAATTGATATCTAGATTAATATTACAATTTTTCAAAAAATAATTTATAGAGCTAATCAGATAAAAGTTAATTTGCAATAATGTAAAATTATTTATATGAATATCATGAAATGTATAGCAGTTTAATGCTGGGCATAGAAAGCCAGATCCCACAAGGTCAACTATGATTAGAATCCCAGTTCTGGCAGCTTGAGGATAATACCATATGTATTTGGGTGTGCCCAAAGTCCTCAGGGCAGGAAAGGGCTTGCAGTGTCTCTATACCCCACTGGGTGATGTTTTCTGTCTCCGTCTCTGCTAAGTTTACCCACCTCTGACAAGAAGAAAATGATTAGAAGTTTATTATTTATTTTCAATGCTATGGAACCATTTTAATAAATAGTTTGAGGATTATCTAGATATTAAATATTAGGTGTGATTCCCTTGTGAAATCATCTAGGTTTGATACTTTTGGAATAACTCTATGAGACATTTATTTTTTCCCTCTAAAGATTGGTCAAAATATAAATTATTGGTTCTATTTAGTGCCAGGTTTGCTAAAATGTATTTTTCTAGAGATTATTTCAGGCAAATTTTAAAATTTATTTTAATATAATCATGCAAAGTGGTCTTTTGTATTGTTAAGATTCCCTGTTTCTATAGTTGCTCCTTTCTCAAAATTTCTCATTTCTTTTTT